TGTGACCTTGGGTGCTGCCACCTGCTTTGGCTTCTGTCCCCCAAGTGGGGAGATGAGCCCTGCCCCACTCCCGGACAGTGGGGTAGATTCAGAGAGAGACACTGTCCGGGAAGGTCTTTTGTAGGGGACGGTGGTGTGGACGTGATTTGTTGTGATCTCACTCTGTCTCAGTGGTTCTGGTTCTCTCCTTGTTTGTTTGTTTTGTTTTTTTTTGGGGGGGGGACAGGAGCTACAACGATCACGGGCCGGGTAGGGGGGAGGTCACTGTTCTGCCTCAACAGCGACCATCACTAGCTAGCTGTCCCCACTTGGGGTCCCTGAGAACGCCTTGCCATTCGGATGCAGGGTCCCCGCGTTTCGTTCCGAGGTACGACTGTGGAGCAGGACATTTAATTTAGTTGTTCGTAGCGCCAATCCGGAGACGGCCAGCCAGCTTCTAATTGACGGGAGGGCCCTTCTCTGGGAAAGGGGGATGCACACAGCTTTTGCTGGAACGGCAGTGCCCTGTGAGTGGAATCGTCCAAGGGAGAAGCCGACAGGAGCTGTAAGACACATCACCGGATTTGGAGAGGGCCTCAGCCGCCTGACTCGCGGCTGTGGCCGGCAGCACCATCCGGGGCTCCTAATTAGTTTTGGTTGTGGCTGCCTCTTCACGTCCCTCCCAGTGGCCGGCTCCCACCTCCCCACGCCTACCTGCCCAGCGCTCACCTGAGAGGCCGACTGCCCCCACCATTGCTCCCCTCTGCATCTGAGAACAAACGGGTCTGTGCTTGGCATCATTTGGGGACCGGTTCACAGGCGGCCTGTGGGATGCAGCTGTGTGAACCCTCGGTTGGCCTTTTCCCTCCGTGCAGGGGGGACAGCACGGGAGGCACCACCTTTCGGATGGATGGGGATGCCAAAGCCTGTCTCCTGTCTTCTTTCACAGAAACCCACTTGACACCGTGAGCACCTGCAGTGCTTCACAAACACGGCAGGAACGTCCGTCCCTGCCCTTTGCCAGGCAGCCTTTTGGGGCCGGGCGGTGCAAACCCGTAGGCTTTGGGTACTTGGCCCTCCCCACCCCCCAGGGGTCGGGGGTGCGGGTGGAGGGCAGACTGAGGGGAGGCGGGCCAGTTGGAGCCAGACACCCTAGAAATGGCCATGACATCTTAGGAGACGGCATGACCCCACCTAGCTACAGAATTCCCTTAGAACGGATTCCTACCCAGAACGGGGGGGGGGGGCAGGAGGGGACGGGTGGGGGCTCCACAAACGTTTCCTTATTTTCACAAATCACATCTGATGTCCTTAAAAGGGGGCTGTCCTCCTCCTCCCCCCACACACACACTCACACACACACACACACAGGGGACGTACAATAATACCCGCTGCAGAACCACTCACCGTCTCAACCCTAATTTTTAACTACAGGAAAAATAAATAAATACATGAAAAGAACATAAACACTTGCAAACCCCGATCATCCCAAACCAGACACTGGCTCTCTGGATATTCCTAGGACAAGGGAGTGTCTGGATTTCGAGTTTCGTTTTTTTTTTTTTAGTTTTTTTTTTTAACCCTCCAGTGGCTGGACCCTGTTATTCAGGGGACTGAATGAACACACAAGACTCGGTAGCCCTAAACAGCCCTTGTCTGTCCCGGTTATGCGAAGCAGGCTCCTCCCAGCAACCCTGCAGACGCATAAATTGGCAGCCTATTTAAACTGGGTGGTTTTTTTTTTTTTTTTCCTTTTCTTTCTCACAGGTTCATTTTCCAGAGTAATATGCGAAGGGCGGAGGCATTTTTCTTGCTAACAAGGAATTTATTTAAGTCACAGTTGCTTCACCTTCCCAAACTTGCCTGGCACACTTGGTGGAAGGCAAGAGCCCCATTCTGGTCACGTCTGCGTCTCTCGCCTCTGGGCCAGGGGCGAGGAGACCTTGGAGGAAACCCACATCCCTCCTCCCAGAGACTTTTTGCTCCCTGGGGGCATCTGGAAGGATGAGAAGGGCAACAGCCTTCCGACCCGGCTTTGAATTTTGTTTTCAGTTGTTCGCTAGAGGTGTCCCTTTGCCGTGTGGACCGCACGCGGCCCCTGGCACCACTGCGCGCCCGGGCCAGCTAGGCTGGCCATAGCGGTTCCCCGGGGGGGACCTCAGCGTGGGGTCTCCGCGTCGCCAAGCGGAGAGCTGGGGACCCCGCGGCGCCTGGGAGCCCCGTCCCACTCGGGCACTGGCCGCCGTGCTGCGGGGGACGGCTGAAGGCGGGAGCCCCTGGCGTCCTCCGACCCAAGGCGCCCAGGGGGTGGGACGGACCTGGAGGGGCACGGCCGGCCTGCGCCCACCCCCCTGCGCGCTCACCTGCCACCTCTCGCCACCCACAGGAGGCATCCTGGGCGCAGCGCCGACCCCGGGACAGCCCCCTACGCGTCCCGCGCCCTCCCCAAAGTTGTGGCTCCCCACCTTCCCTCGGAACAGCGGCCCCAGGAGTGCACTCACCCGATCTCCCCAGTCCGTCCCTGAAGGTCAAGGCCAGGTGGCGGTGGCGGGCGCGCGGCAGGGCCCGGGGTGGGGGGCACGGGCGCCCAGCCGGGGGGCGCCGCGGAGCCGCTCAATGGCCATGCCCGGAGTGGCGCCCCTCGGGCTGGGGGCGCCCCCAGCGTCGCGGCTCGCGGGGGCCGCGGCGCTCAGATGCCGTGGTCGCAGTCCACGTCCCGGCAGATGTACCAGAGGATCACGTAGAGGATGAGGAGGATGGCGAAGATGAAGAGGGCCACCAGGATCGCCTTGGTCACCGGCGAGATGAGCGACTGCATGGCCCCGGCGGGGCGCGCAGGCGGGCGGGGGGCGCGCGGGGGCGCGCCGCTCAAGACCCGAGCGCGCCCGAGCCCGCGCCGGCCCGCGCCGCATCCGCAGTGCTCCCGTGCCAGGGACGGGCGCCGCGGCTCGGCGGCGCGGCGTCGCGGGCCCTGCGGCTCGGCGGCGCGGCGGCGGCCGGCCGCGCTCGGGTGCGGGCGGCTCGCGCGGGGCCCGCCGCGCCGCCGCTCCCGGCCCGCTCCTCGCGCGCACTCACCGGGCCCGGCGGCCGCGGGGCTGGGCAGGCGGCGCGGGGCGCGGGGGCGGAGGCAGGGAGCTGCGGCCATGGGCGAAGGCGAGGAGGAGGACGAAGAGCTGGAAGCAGGGGGCGAGCCGGGCAAGTCCCCGCAAACTTGGGCGGCGGCGAGACAGCGGCCGCGCGGTGACAGGTGGAAGCGCCGGCCCTGCGGGGCGCAGCGCGCAGCCGTCCACCGGCGGCGGGGGGCGCGGAGGCGGCCGTGCGGCGGGTGCGCGGGGAGCGGCGCGGGGCGAGCGCGGGGAGGGGCTCGGCGCGCCGCGGGGGTCTCCCGCCCAGGCGGGCGGGGAGGCGGGGGAGGGGAGCCCCCCAGCCCCCCATTTCCCCTCCCACCCCTGCCCTCCTAGCCCGCGTCTCTCCGCCGCCGCCGCAGCTGCTGGCGTCTGCCCATTCCTGCCTCGCGTGCCAAGCTGCCCCTCTCTGGGGGCCCCTGTCCTTCCTCCTGCCTGCGCCCCTCTTCTGCTCTGGTGAGCTGCGATGCTTCTACAGGCAGGCAAATGGGGGTCCAGGTTGAGAGAGAACGCCCCTTCCTTTTCTCTGCCCTTCTGGGCACGGAATGGAACAGGGGAGGGGGTTTCAGGTTGGAGAGAACTCATTGCCGCAGCTGCACTGAGAGGCAGGAAGGGGCCCGGGAGGGGGGCTGGGCGCAGGCAGGAGAAGGACTCAACGCCTTGCTTAGGGTCAGGGCTTACATAAGGGGAGGGGAGACTCCCAGAGCCCTGAGGAAGAAGGGGGCTGCAGAGGAACTCGGGTGAGGACGCAGGGTTCTGCCCTGCGCAGCAGAAAGTGTCCCCCCAACGGCGTGTCTCCCACCCTTTGGGGCTCGGTCACTGGGCCGCCCTTGGAGACACGCACAGCCCCCCCTTTTCCTGAAGGCCGAGCTGTGTTTAGCGCTGACGCCTGGTGGGGACGCTGGCACAAAACACCGAAGGTCAAAGGAGCCCCCAATTCCATGTGCAGAGTTCTAAGGAAAGCAGGGGGTCTCCCTGTGCCTGGAGACGTCTTGGGTATTCCCTGTAAGCGATGGAGTTGACTTGGGGGTGTAGGATGAGGTGTGGGGCTTGGACGGGGAATCTGTGAGCTAAGAGAACCAGGACAAGAGGAGAACCAGCTCCCAGCAAGAGCAGAATACAGGCCCGGCATGCGCCTGCACCTGTGGGCCCCACCACCAGCCGCTGGGGCTGGCCCACCCTGCCAGACAGATGTCCTCATGTGCAGACAGTGAGCAGCTGCCCAGGGGGGCAAAGCTGTGTAACTGCAGGTAGCATGGAGCACCCACAGGCCTGATGCCCCAGCGTTCTGGGAGGAGAAGGCACCATCTCTCCAACCTTGGAGAGATGGTGCCTGAGAACCCAGTGCTCCAGGGGCCAGGTGTCCCTGACCTTCAGAGCGAGAGACAAAGGAGAAGCTACGACCTGCCCCAGGTGGAAACAGCATGGTCTCAGATGGTCTAGGGTGGATCTGAGGCTGGGTGCAATGGAAGCAGGGAGAACGTGCATTGTGATGTCCAGGGAGATTGTGCTGGTCCAGCAAGGCAGGGCGAATCGGGTGCTAACGTGGTGCTCGATCGCCTGTTCCCCATCCTCCTGCCCAGTGCTCCCATCCTAGTACTGTGATTCCCGTAGGATGACCCAGGCAGGAGAGGGGATACCCTTTTCCTTCTGTGGCCAGGAGGAAGCCCTAAATTGGGGGTCACCCACTGGGGTAGTGGCTGGCTTTTCTGCAGTCTGCAGTCAGTGAAAGAATGCAGACCCAAGGAGAGTCTTGGAGGGTGGCCTGACCCGGCCCAGCGGGCAAGCAGTCAGGGGGCTTCTCCTTGGCACTTGAGGGAGAGACTCAAGTATGTGTGTGCATGCATGCGTGTGTATGTGTGTGCCTGTGAGAGACAGAGTGCACGCTTGCCGAGAACCATTGGTGTCATCCATGGATTAGTATCTGGTTGGCAGTGATACTGTGTCTTTTTTTTTTTTTCCAGGGCTGCAGCTTCTAACTCTGGAATGAACCTGCATTTCCAGCCTCAGCCGTTCATCGGCTGAAAGAAGAAGGATAATTGAATTTATACACTTCTACCTCTCCACGCATGAAGGCTTTCTATTCCTCAGGGGTGCACGCTGAGGAGGAATGCCTCAAAGTTTCTGTTATTTTTTATTAAACTTGATTTCGTCTGGAGAAAAAACAAAATCTATCAGACACCCACAATCCAGCCAAAGAGAGAGAGGAAGAATGCTCAGGTGGGAAGGTAAGGCAGGTGTCAGCGGAAATACACTCCGGTTCCCTTCTCACCAAATGGAGTTTGATTTTTGATGTGAGAAGATACGGAACAGAATAGAGGCCTTGGAAATAAATCCAGACATTTGCAGCCAGCTGATTTTCATCAAAGGCACTGAGAACTTCCTCTGGGGAAGAGACACCCTCGTCAGTAAGTGGTGCTGAGAAAACTGGATGCCAGACACAAAGGAATAGAACTAGACCCCTGCCTCCCAGCATACACAAAAACTCAACCCCAAATGGATTAAAGGCTTAAAGGTAAGACCCCCAAACAACTATAAAACTACTAAAAAAAAAAAGTATAGGGGAAACCCCTCAAAACATTGTTCTAGGCAGGAATTTTATGGGTAAAACTTCAAAGACAGGTAACAAAAACAAAAAAAACCAGACCAATGGGAATGTGTCAAATGAAAACTCTTGTGCACAGCAAGAAAACAACAGAGAGACTAGACAACCTGTAGAATGAGAGAAAATATCTGCAAGCTATTCATTCAACAAGGAACCGATATCCAGAATATACAAGAAACTCAAACAACTCAGCAGTAAACAAACAAACAAAAAACCAAAAAAACCAACACAAAACCAAATAATCCAATTAAAAATGGTCAAAGAGTCTGAATAGATATTTCAAAAAAAGATATGAAAAAAATGCTTAACATCACAAATCATCGGGGTAAATGCAAATCAAAATCACAATGAGATATTAAATATCATTTCACCCCGGTAAGCACGGAATATATTCAAGGAGGCAAAAAAAAAAAATCACAAATCTTGGTGGGAATTTGGAGAAAGGGAAATTTTTATGCACTGTTGGTGGGAATGTAAATTAGTGCAGCCATTATAGAAAACAGTATGGTAGCTTCTCAGAGAACTAAAAATAGAACTACCATATGATCCAGCAACCCCACTACTGGGCATGTATCCAAAGGAAAGGAAATCAGGATACTGAAGAGACATCTGTACTCCCGTGTTTATTGCAGGTCTATTCACTACAGCCAAGATACAGCATCAACCAAAGTGCCCATTAACAGGGGAATAGGCAAAGAAAATGTGGCCTGTACACACGGTGGAATATTATGCAGCCATAAACAAGATTGACGTCTCATCATTTGCAGCAACCTGGGTGAACCTAGAGGACATTGTGCTAAGAGGGATAAGAGCGAGGCACAGAAAGGTAAATGCCCCATGTCCCCACTCACAAGTGGAAGCTGAACGTTGATCCCCTGGAAGAAGAGAGTGGAATTGTGGTTACTCTTGTATATTCTGGATATTAGGGTGTAGGAGGGTGGGCACAGGTTGGTCAACCAATGCAAAATTATAGCCAGATAGGAAAAACGAGTACCTGTGCTGTAGGGCGAATTTAGTTAATAATAATTTGTTGTACATTTTTGCACAGTGGAACAGAGGATTCTGAGTGCTTCCAGCACAAAAAAAAAAAAAAAATGATAAATGCTTGAGGTGCTGCATACAATCATGACCCTGATTTGCTTTATCACACATTGCTCACAGGCGTCAAAATTTCATTCTGTATCCCCAAGACATGCATAGTCCAGGATGCATAGTCAAACTAAAATAAAAGGGAAATAGTGTCAACTGCAAGAAGATGAACTTGATTCTCGGGCTGTTTCTGAGATGGCTATCGTAAGATGTTGGGTTCTGGTTGCTCACATGTTATGCATGCATTCAATCCTTTTTGTTCGTTTGTTTTATTGAGACAGAGTCTTGCTCTGTCGCCTGGGCTGGAGTATAGTGGTGTCATTGTTGCTCACTGCAACCTCAAACTCCTGGGCTCAAGCGATCCTCCTGCCTCAGCCTCCTGAGTAGCTGAGACTACAGGCACGTGTCACTACACTTAGCTAATTTTTCTATTTTGAGTGGAGACGGGGTCTAGCTCTTGCTCAGGCTGGTCTTGAAGCGATCCTGGCATCAAGCGATCCTCCCGCCTCGGCCTCCCAGAGTGCTGGGATTACAGGCGTGAGCCACCACGTCTGGCCTGCATATATTTAATCTAATTCCTGGGGTAGCCTTAGGGTGAAAGATAAAGTAATGGATAGAAAGGAAGCAAGTGAATATTAACCTTCCCTCTCCTTAAAACTCACAACCTGGCCGGGCGAGGTGGCTCACGCCTGTAATCCTAGCACTCTGGGAGGCGGAGGTGGGTGGATCGCTCAAGGTCAGGAGTTTGAAACCAGCCTGAGCAAGAGTGAGACCCTGTCTATAAATAGAAAGAAATTAATTGGCCAACTAATACATATATACATAGAAAAACTTAGCTGGGTGTGGCGGTGCATGCCTGTAGTCCCATCTACTCGGGAGGCTGAGGCAGGAGGATCGCTTGAGCCCAGGAGTTTGAGGTTGCTGTGAGCTAGGCTGACGCCATGGCACTCACTCTAGCCTGGGCAACAAAGTGAGACTCTGTCTAGAAAAAAAAAGAAACAAAAAAAATCACAACCTGAACCTTGCTATGACCCCAAATCCAGTCTGGTTTTTGATTCCTTCTTTTTCTGGATTGCCTAACCCTGTCCTGACCCCCTTTGTACATGGCCCCTACTTTCCCACACCTCCTGGGCTCATCTGAAACACAATCTCTCTCTCTCTCTCTCTGAGTCTTTTACTCAACAATCCCTTCTCATTCTGCTTTTATACGATTGTTGCTGCTGCCGCCGTTTAATCCTCCAGTCAGGTACTCGAGGTTTATTTTCCTCATCCCCGAGTTACTTCCTAAACTAAATACTGCGTGGGAAGGGAACCTTTCAGTGGATACGCTCTCCCTTGAGTGAATTATTTTAGAATCAGACAAATGGTTGCTTCCTAAATCCAAACTCATGAGCTACAAAATAATACGCTTTCTACGCATGTCTGGACGTTGTTTGGTCCAGGAGCTGGAGGGCTGCAGAGTGGGGTGGCCGTCTATTGGAACCACTATGAGTGACTAGGGCTTCTGCTTTTTAAGCCGTGTGGCCTTGACCAAAGCCTTTTTATTATTCCTGAGCATGCAATGAGAACGGAACACGCAACCTCAGAAAGTCAGCATACACACATGGATGTGCTATTTCTGCTTTGGTGCTGCTTTGAAACTACAGGTTTACAGCCCATTAGAGGATTGTAAAGTTGATCAAGTGGATGCAGTGAATCATTTTTTTAAAAATGAGCGGATTTAAAAATACCGGGAGGCAGTGCACACACTAAGCCTAAGTGTGGACTTAGGAAGCACACGTATGTATCATTTGTGGGTGAGTGCATGCGTGCACGAACACATGAGCTCATCTGTGACATAAACGTGTGTCGTGGCATTTGAAAAGCATGATGCTATGCAGGTGAGGTTGCAGAAATAAAAGCCCATTCGCTGGGGTTTGGATGGAAGGATAAGAACATATATATGTATTTTTTTTTTTTTTTGGATCAGGCAAAACAATCAAAGAACATTTCTAAGTGAGAGTGGAAACCAGGTAAGCCCAGTGGGTTGGTTTTCATTTTGGCTCATGGCAGCATGTACAAACTCATGGACGAGGTGATCCCATGGCTCTGGGGCAGGCAGGTGAGGCCGGGCAAGGTCCCCCAATGAGCAAACCGCTCCGGGGTTATTAGGAGAAGTGGGGAAAAGGGCTCCATCCTTTCTGAATGTCCGGCACACTGTCTGTGTGAGCGAGAGTTGGTCGCGGTCAGCCCCTCAGGGAATTCGGTGTGCAACCCGGATCCACAGCGATCTCCAGATCAGTTTATCGAAGAACTGTGTGCATTTTCTTGAATGTGCTGCATATTCTCGGGGTGTTCTTGGAGAACATTGGGATAGGTCCAGCCTTCCGTAGAGAAGATGGAACAGTTTGCTGACGGCTTTTGGACGGTGTGTCTTTCTCTGGCTTGACTCAATCGCCTGGAGTAATTAAATCGGCATTGCCTCCCTCTCTCCCTGTCTCACTTGGAAGGCTAAAATCTCTATTTTTTTAATCAGAGGAAACCTGCCCAAATTCTCCACAATGCTTGGACTCCTTGGGAAGACTGCAGAGCTTGGCTTGAGGCTCTGCCTCTTGGATCCAACGTTCAAAGTCACCCAGACTCAATTACCGCGTCTCCCCGAAAATAAGACCTACCCACAAAACGAGCCCTAGCAGGATTTCTAAGCATGTGCGCAATATCAGCCCTACCCCAAATATAAGACGGAGTGACGGGCGTGGCTACGCAGCGCATCTGCACAACCCGTGTATTTATTTCCTCGCGGAGCGGGAAAGAACACGAGCAGCCCTTCTCATCCGCCCCATCGTGAGAGCTCTGTTGCTCGACAGGAGAGATCGGGGCCGGTGGCTCTAAAGGAAACAGAGTCGCAAGACATTCAGGATGGGATTCGGGGTCTGGAGAGTGAGGATGATGTTCCAGAAGGAGACGGCTTCACCCCATCTGAATCAATGTAGATGGCTGTACCGAACTTAAAGAAAATAACACATCCCCTGAAAATGAGCCCCAGGGTGTCTTCTGGAGGAAAAATAAATAGAAGACCCTGCCTTATTTTCGGGGAAACACAGCAGGTGCTCCGGTTACCAGTGTCCACTGCAGGCTTTCCTGAGACTCCACTTGTAAACCGAATGAAGTCTGCTCCCTGAGTCCGGGCGGGTCAGGCGGGGTGGGGCTGGGCGTGCCGGCGGCGAAGGCGGGCTTCTCGCGGGCGAAATCCCGGTTATTTTTCTGCTTCGTGGTTTTTCCTAATCTGTTATTGTTTTTTTTTCAGCGAGGCCGACGCTACAGGTTGACTTGGGCGGACGCAGAGTTGCTACTTTGTTTGTTCGGGAGAACAATAAAAGCTGGCGCTAAAAAGGCCAGTAGAAGGCAGGGAGCTGAGGGTGATGTTTCCATAGTAGCCGGACGTCGCCTGGAGGTTCAAATAGCGTTTCATCTTCACGGGCCCCGGTTCTCCGTCCTCGGCCGCCTCTGCAAGCCCTGGGGTGCGTCTTTTTACTATCTGTGCAGATGGTTTCCGAGATGCCACGGGGCAGCGCTGTGCAAGATAGCTCGTATTTCTGTTATAGAGGCTATTAAACTAATATTTTAGACGCAGAGTGCTTTTATCTAAGAACAGAGAGACGCTAGAGAGACTTCTATTTAAAGGGAAGCAGAGGTTACCCTTCTGCCTTTTAGAAAATGGGGCTGTTTCACGGGGAAACATCCCTCAAGTTCTTAGATAACTGCTTTGTGCCGATGTACCGATCCATTCAACTCCGAGTATTTGAAAGGTAGCAATATTATTAATAAATGGGTGGAGCTGATGGCGAGTTCAGACTTTAGTGCATGTTTTTTTTTGTCCCTACTTTATTCCTGCAAATGTAGGTTGGTTAAAAAAAAAAAAAACAACTAGAGAAACTATAGGAAAAGGAAGATTTAATTTTTTATAATAGCAGAGAGGCAGGGTAGTCAGCCATACCTTCAGGGTTATAAAAATGTCTAAACAGGGCCGGGCGCGGTGGCTCACGCCTGTCATCCCAGCACTCTGGGAGGCCGAGGCGGGCGGATTGCTGGAGGTCAGGAGTTCGAAACCAGCCTGAGCAAGAGCGAGACCCCGTCTCTACTATAAATAGAAAATAGTTAATTGCCACTAATAATATATAAGAAAAAAGAGCCGGGCATGGTGGCGCATGCCTGTAGTCCCAGCGACTCGGAGGAGGCTGAGGCAGGAGGATCGCTTGAGCCCAGGATTTGAGGTTGCTGTGAGCTAGGCTGATCCCGGCTCACTCTAGCCTGGCCAACAAGTGAGATGTCTCAAAAAAAAAAAAACTGTCTAAACAGATGCAGACAAACCCTCACGGTGTGATTTGAACAATTATATAGTTCAGATTGTCTAAGGAGGCTTTCTTTTTTATTTTAAACCTTCTTTTCTTTTTTACTTGGTTCATGGGGGGGAAAAATATGGAAATCAACAAATCTGGGGAAAATAAAGTTGGCCTCGAATTCAAGGTTTTAGAATTTTGCAGTCAAGTCTCTTGGTTAGCTGGTGGCTTGAGAAAGTTTCGTTAAGGGCTGTAGGTTGTTTTGTTTTGCTTTTTTTAAAAATGTTTTATTTGAGGTGGCAGGGTTTTTTAAATTCACACGTCGAATAAGTTCGCATCTCTTCCTCCTGGCTCCACGTCTTGGACGTCTTGGACGTGGAAAGCCTTTTCACTTGGAGACGGTGGAGTGATTTCCTTATGCGGCATTTGAATAGAAAACGCTTTGGCCGGTTGGCCTGAAACTGTGTAAGACACACTGTTGCCGTCCGAGCCACACACCGGAGCTCCCAACACGGTCTGACGCTGGGACATCCCGCTTCCTAATACCGGCTGTCCTGCCGGTTGAATTTACACTCCGCGATGAATGATTTTTATAAGGCGTGCGCAGATATGACGTGTTTTTTTTTTAATCAGGCTACCGTGTGGAGAATGTGGAATTTGCTGTCGTTGGCCTGCAGTGCTGCAGCTTGTTGTGACGTGAACAACTTCCGCTTTGAGATGCGCAGAAAAGCAGCTTCCATCCGTATCTTACGTGGGGGCTTCGCCCGCCAGCGCCTGCTAAAAGCTGCCGCTCTGTGTCTGAATTTTGGAAATAAGAGGAGGAAGTCTCTAATCTCTATCAGCAGTTAGCCCCCGACCCTTCCCCGGTGTTTGCTGTGCGATGAAGTGTTTTACATAAAACCTTGCAGCTGGGCGTGAACCGCGCCTCCCCTTTCCACGGGAACTAGTGAGGGCAGCAGGTATCCAAACCACCTGTAGGATGGGAACCCTCCACCCCCAATCCCCGTCCGTCCGTCCGCTGCTCGGATGGGAGAGCTGCAGAGAGAATTATTCGGTGTTAATAGAGGAAGGAACGCGCGTTCAGTTTCCGAAGAGCTTCAAGATGTGGGTCACACGTACACGTGGCGTTTGAAATGCCCTCCTTCCCTGACACACATCGCACGTTTCCAAGCACAAAGAGCCCGATTTGGGTGCTCCGTGGGAGCGTCCGGCTCCTCGTGACTGCAAAGTGTTTCCTACCGTCCACGAAGAGCGTGCTGAGATGTGTATTCTTTAGTTGTCCTTCAACGTCTGTGGCGTGCCCGCCTCACTGGGTGTTTGTTGGGTGTCTTTGGGGAGACCGCAGCTTGTTTCCCTTCACGGGGCCCCGGGGGAGAGACCCCACACGCCCCAGCTCCTACAGGATCCCGGCACCTGTGTTTGGACAGGTGCGCGCTCTCAGGCCCGGGCTGCCTTCCAGGTGAGGGTCGGGCTCCTGTTTGCAGGCGGCTCGAGGCTTCACTCAGTTCACACTTGTCTCATTGCGCCACCTGCCGGCACTGACGGGCACACGCTGCCTGTCCCTCACGTCTCCGTCAACAGCTGTGGTGGCAGCTTTGTCTGGCAGGAAAGACCCAACGGAGGAGGTGTGTGTGCACCTGTGTCCCCTCCCGCCCCCCACGTGCATGCCATGGACCCCGGCCACCTGCCACTCTGTGAAGGTCTGGGGAGACTGCAAAAGAGGACATGCTCGCCGGAGATTTCAGAGTTTTAGAGCTGGTCCGTTCTAGGAGAGATTTTAGCAGTGAAGCTTTTATAACTAAGTGCACTTTTTTTTGGCGACGTTGTATCTTGCAAAGATAGGGAGGGAAGAGAGGAGTCGGAGGGAGGGAAAGGAAGATGAAAAGGAAGGGGAAAACAGAAAACAGGGAGGGAGAAATGATCTTTCCCCAACACGGACAACAGCACGGCTGCATCCGAGCGGACCGGTTCAGCCTGCCTGCTGGGTTAGCCGGTGAGCAGTGACCTGCAGTAACACACACACACGCCCCGGAATTTCAGTAGTGTGTCCCTATTACACAATTGTCTCCCAGTTGCCAATAACTCAGACCAGGAACGGAGGGCCCCCCCCCAGGGGGTCCTGGCCGGAGCCCAGTGTGGACAGCCGGCCTCTCGCTCCCGGGGAAGGGGGACGGGAAGGTGGGATGCACACCTGGCTGGCTCTCCCGCACCTGCCCGGGCGAGGCTGGACGTCAGGGCGGTGGGTTTCCAGGCACAGATTCCTGCACCCCAAGACTATCAAGGGGTGCCGGCGGCAGGAGCAGGTGGAGCAGCAGGGGGTGGGGTGTGAGTCGAGCTCTCAGCAGCGCTGACCACCACGGAGCAATTTTTCAAATCACCTGAAAGTGGAGCACGACCCAAATGCTCGTGGGCCTCTAGGGAGAGCAAGGAACTGCACTGCTAGCCCCGGGCACACTTCCCAGCGCAGTGGAGGGTGAGAGTCAGATTGAAGTCGGCTGAGATGGAAATTTAAAAGATACAGACACGTAACCGTTTTTGCAAGAGAATGCACACGCGAGCGAGCACCCAAAACCTCGCACGGTTGTGCGCGTGATGTTCACGCCGGTGCTGTCTTCAACAGCCTCAAAGTAGAGGTAACCAAGGTGCCCATATGGATTTCAAAGAAATGTGGTGTGTCTGTGCCATGGAATACTATTCAGGCACGAGAAGGAACGGGGCCATCAACGTGGGTGAACTTTGAAAACATACTGTAAGAATGCAATCACACAAGACCACATGTTATGCAATTCCGTTCTCGTGAAATGTGCAACGTAGGTAAATCCACAGAGACAGACAGTAGGACACAAGTCGTCAGGGGCTTGGCGGGGGGGAGAAGGAGAAATGGGAACAAATGCTCAATGGGTACAAAGTCTCTTTTTAGAGTGTGGTGAATGTTGCATAACTCTGTACATACCCTTAAAATGCATTGAATCGTTCGCTTAAAACGGGTTAGGTTGGTGGTGTGCAAATCATGCCTCGATAAAATTGCTTATGATCGGTTGCAGATCTGCGATTGCCTTTGCAATCCACCCACCCCACGTGGGTGAGAACCGACACAGCCACCACCCGTGGGAAGCACGCCAGGGGGTCAGCTGCACAGTTTGGGGTCCGGGTGACATTTCTTACGCAACGGGCTCAGTTTCTCGTCTTTCCAAGTTAAAGGACGCTCACTAGCTCCTCGTGCTTTAGGTTTGAAGGATCTTTTCTGAGACGCTACGGTCGATCTTAGTTTTCATCCAGCGCTCTTGTGCTTTATGCAGGCAAAGTCGTACCTCCGAGAGGATGTGCCTCAATGGTCGATCTGTCCATTGATGACGTTCTTCACACCAGCGTGAGAACCAAGTCCCCACTGGTGGACGTCGGGGTTTGTTTCTGCTCGGTGTGCCTCCCTCACCCCGTAAGGGAGATTCGGACAGACATCGAGGTAGCCCGGAGGCTACAGCCGGACGGTGAGGAGTGGGCAGGAGGGAATGGCAGTCAGGGGAGACCCGGCTGCCACTGAGGTGAGTGAGCTGATGCTCACGTCGGAATGCCAAATAGGTTCCCCATCTCACTGCCGCTGGGCTCTTAGTGGTCCTCCAAAACTGCTGAGAAGTGAGGGACGGTTGCACCAGCCAGTTGTCATGCAGAATGACCTACCCCTGTCCCCAGCACCATTCACAATGTGCGTGACTCTCAGTAGGTAAAACGAGGCGCGGTGCTCATTGCAGCAAACCGAGAGAAATCACTAACAACTTAAAAATCTTAAAATTGGGGTTTACCCTGCGGGGAATAAAACATGCATTTTTTTTTTTTCCAGAGTGTCGCTGTTCGGATGCATTGAACTGCTGAAGTCTTTTTCGAGAACTGTTTTCATGGGGGAGAAATAAACTCATCGGTGGTATTCGGAAGATCATAAAGGGGGAAGGAATTACAATTAGGATTATGAAGTGGCATCTAGCGTGTAGTCAGTGACAGCTGAAGTTAATTAATAAAGGCTACCATGACCGTAAATTCAGTATCTTTGTGGTCATTAAGACGACTCCAAGAGGTGGGCATTCCAAGAACACTATAAACATGCATCTGAATCCTGGGGCTGGGTTAGAGAAATCAGAGAACCATGAAGTTGACGTGGTTTCGAGCCAGAATTCAAATTCAGTTTTAAGGCTGTACAGCTCTGGGAATGTCCCTCACGTTCATGGCCATGAAATGGGGAAGAGAAACCTACCTTGCAAGGTTGAAGGGAAAATAAAATAAAAGATCGGATGAAAAGCTCAGTACCTGCTGCTTAATAACAACTTCGTAAGTGTTAGCTGTCGTGACTGTTGTTCCCATAAGAAATAACAAAAAAATGACGTAACTATAGGTTTGATTCCTCCTCCCTGTCAAAAGCAATTATAATAGGTTTGATGGTGGCTCCCTAAATTAACACATGTCTATGTCTTAATGCTAAGAACCTATGAATATTGTCTCAGATGGGAAAAGAGTGACCGTCATTTTATAAGGCAAAAGACATGACTGAGTGAAGGATTCTTCCTCCTCCTCTTCATCCTCCTGCTCCTCCTCTTCTCCTCCTCCTTCTCCTCCTCCTCCTCCTTCTTCTTCTTTACTTCAGAGTATTACAGGGGTACAAACACTTTGGTTACATAAATTGCTTTTGTACCATCTGACTAGCATGTCCATCCCCCAGATGGTGTGCATAGTACCTGTTAGGTGTGAATATATCCATCCCCTCCTCCCCCTCCCACCTGCCCGACACCCAGTGAATGTTATTTCCGTATGCGCACAAAGGTGTTTTCTGTTAGCTCCAATTTTCTGGTGAGTCCATGTGGTGCTTGTTTTCCCGTTCTTGGAATACTTCACTTAGTAGAATGGGTTCCAGCCTTACCCAGCAAAATACAAGAGGTGCTAGATCACCATCGTTTCTTATAGCCGAGGAGAACTCCATGGTGTACATAGACCACATTTTATTAATCCACTCATGGATTGATGGGCACTTGGGCTGTGTCCACATCTTTGCAATTGTGAATTGTGCTGCTACAAACATTTGAGTGCAGTGAGTGGAGGATCTTGATAGGGGGGTTACCTTTGGGTTTTCCGAATGGACCTAAATGCAATCACGTGCATCATTATAAAAGAGGGGCAGAGGGGATGTTGAGAGAAACACAAAACTGTGAGAATAAATGTCTGATTTTGTAAGCCACCCAGTTGATTGTACTTTGTTCTAGCAGGGAAGGAAACCCCTGCAGTGGTTATGAATCTGATCCTTCTGGAAGTTGGTTCCATGGAAATCCTGGCCATTTCAGGGCCAAGATCTTGCAGTACTTCCACTAGTTCCTGGAGAGAGTGAGCCCAGCGGTCTTCATTTGTTTGGTTGTGTCACTGCCCATGTGGGTCGTGTTGCCCACAGCACAGAGAAAAGCCATTACACCGAGACAGCCGGAGGTGCAGAGGAGAGGGAGTTTAATATCGTGGGGCACCAAGTGAGGAGATAGGAGAGCTTCCTCAAATCCATCTCCCTGAGAATTTGGAGTCTAGGGCTTTTAGGGTTCGGTGGGAGTTTGGGAATCGGCACTGCTGATTGTTTGGGCTGGGGGTTCAATCACAGGGTGTAGAAATTGTCTTTTCTTTGCTTAGTCACTTCCTGGGTTGAGGTTGCGAGACCAGGTGAGTCAGTTCCATGGTATGGGCTTCTGGTCTGCATGGCTCAGCTGTTCCACTGGAATGTGGGGCTTGGAAGATACCTCTAAGACCAGCCTTAGGTTTCACAAGGGTGATGTTATCTCTGGGAGCAATGAAGAAAGCTAAGAGTCTTTATGGCCAGCAGCTATGTAACTCCTGAGTTATAACCATTTACAGGAAAGCCAGCTAGGGGACTGCAACTGGTTATTTTTATAGCTATGCCTACCTAGCATTAAATGCTTAAATGCCTTTGCAGAGCTCACGCCCCTACCACAGTTCCCACCTTGTGGCCCTTTATTCATTTTAGAAAGGGCGGTTTCAGCTGTCTGCGTCCTTGCTCAACCCTGTCTTGACCAGTCTCCTGGCCACCATAGAAAATGAGAAGGTCCCTCTTCCACCCTCTGCTTGGAATATCAGTCCTGGGTCAAGAGAAGTCATTTCTCAGTGGCCTTAAAGGAACTGCAGGGAGCCCGTACGACATTTCCAGACATGGGAAAAAGATCCGGTGATCCAATTTACTCCAAGCCTCTGATGCCATCAGCCAAGTACCTGCCAACACAAGAAAGGCCGTATCTGCCAAATGTAAGTGGCGTTTCTTTCCTCGGATAGCAGAGACGGTTTTCTCTCTAATTTCATTGTCATGTCCCCTTGTCTGTCTGGTACTGCTGGCTACAACTCTCTTTCACACCATGCCTGGGATTTAGAGTCTGCACTTGGATTCTACATCCCCTAGGCTCCCGAAAAAATTCCACTGGAATTCAGGGATCTCCTTAGCACATTCCTAAAATGTTAGGGTTCCTCATGTTCGCTGCGTCACCTCACCTACTTTGCTTGGTTACATTGCTTGGTTCCTGACTCTGCTCTTTGTAGTTTCGGACTGCACATCTTTGGGTCTTTTGTGCTTGCTTTTCTTCTGTTTAGGGAGAGCTGCAGTTGTGCTCTCGTAACCCTCTTCTTCCTCTGTGCTTCCTCCTCTACCAAGAGGGGCCACCACCTCTGACAGCTTCTGGTAGCATCTTCCATCACTGCAACCTCTCTTGGGGCATTCTGACATTTTCTGCTGAAAAACAAATGCTTACCTTCATGTTTCTAGAGGATGGAACTGTTAGAGCCTTTCTTTGTGCTGCTGTAGGGGAGGAAGAATAATTTTTCTCTCCACCCTTTGTGAGTTCTTAGCTTGTACGCTGCATAACAAAAGACAAGAGAGGAAAACAACAAATGCAGGAGGCTATGAACGTCCATACCTCATGTATCCATGGTAGCTACTCAAGAAAAAAAAATGGGCAAATCTCAGAGAGGGGACTTAGAATTCAGGCTTAAATGGCATTTCCAGTTGAGACAGAGAAATACGGAGTGTGGAGGAGGCCAGTTATGGGGAGATGACCAGAAAACTCAGGGTGGCATGAGTAAGGTTCTGTGGTGCATAGTTTAGTGAGCACCTTCTCCATTGATAAGAGTGTCTGTGATTTAAGAGTGCTCCTTCTCTTGCTGGTACAGAGCTGGAGACATCCTTACAAATGGAAATTTCCTTTATAGATGTAAATGTCTTACAACAAGGTAACTTCTCCTCTGTTTGTGAAGCATCTCCTGTATCTGCTATTTCTGGAAATAATCAGCTGGAAGGAATCCATCCTTATGCCAGAGGCCTATTTTGGGGGAGGCATAGCTTGTTCTGCTACATTCTTTCAGAGACTGCCCATTCATTCTCTCCAAGAGGCAAATTCCTACTGGCTTCATTGTGAAGCAAAGACGTAAAGCAAATCTTCTGTTGTTTCCAGCTTTAAGTAAGTGTCCTGAGCAGGACATTGAGGAGAAAAACCACATTTTGGTCCGCACTTTCGATAGTCCTGAAATAATTCTGATTTTATTGTGAATATCGGTCATCAGACGGTAATTGCCTGTTTCTTACAAAAAAATCAAGAGAAATGACAATCCCTCTCTGTTTAGCAAACCATCTTAAGCATCTGAGCTGAAGAAGCTGCCTTCAGTCTATCTTCAAAAGAATAATATGTGCACATATTTGTTTCCCGTTGAGAGGCATGTAAATATTTATGTGTGCTAGGCTGTGTGAACGTTTAAATGCTGCTGGGGTTTGTTTGGGTTTTTTTTGTTTTTTTAAAGGCTCCTTAGGAGTGTTGAGTGTGTGAAGGAGAGATGAGAAATACCCTCTTCCATAATTTATGTATGCTAAGTACATTATCCCCGGCAGCTCCCATTCAGAGCCTCTCAGATAAAAATGCAAAATGGTGCTTTAATCTCTTCCTCTATTATTTTCCCACAAATGTAACTTAGGGCAAGGAGGCTGACTCATGGAAAAGTGAAGGTTGGGTTCAACAAGGACAGGGGGGATGCAGGCGGAACAAAGCTCACCGCACTGTTGCATCCTGTCTGTCCGTATGACTTAAAGAGTGAGGTACCGGGCTTCGAGAGCTTCATTCACAACTAACCTTTACAGTTTTGTTGTCTGCAAACACAAAAAGTCTACATTGCAATGGGATGGCCTGAGGGGTAGAGTTAGCTATCAGACCAGCGGTCAGCCAGAGTCTGCAGAGAACTGCCTGGAACTTGAGCTCAAGGGACGCGCAGGTGACATTGTCACAGGCAGAGGGGGTGCACTCAGTGGAGAGACACACTGTCTTTGCAAACTTCCCTCTTAGTTATGCAGTCATGGTGCCCGGCAGAGAACTGCCAGTGTGACTTTGTAGTCACCCAATGCCTATGAAAAGTGGGCACCAATCAGATGTCTCCAGAAGCCAGGTGTCTTACCTTGTGCTTGTCCCAGAAGCCTGGAGCACTCAAGTGCAAAGAGTTTATGCATGTGTGTGTGTGTGTGTGTCTTGAGTGGGTGGTGGGGGTTGATCTCAGAAATCGCCAGGAAGGTGCCAATGGGAAAGAACCCAAACTCTGTAAAATAATTTAAAGAGGTTTATTCTGAGCTGGATACATGTGACCATGGCCCGATAATTTACCATGGTAGCCAAGGGAAATTAATGCAATGATCTATCAGTGATGCTTACTCAGATAAATGAGCAAAGTATTTGAAAATGGGATTGTCTCAGATATCCCCAGTCACACGCAAGAAGGACAATTTGGTTTATACCGTGTTTCCCCGAAACTAAGACAGAC